CGGCGATATGACGGATTGATATATAACCAGAAAAATGTTATACAACACTGTGTTTTAAAACTTTTTTATTTAAAATTCTGTAACAAGTTACAAAACTTTGTTATTTAACAGGTTTTGTTACATAGTCTGGACCCGGCTCAAGAATTTGATCGCCTCGTTGATTTGGACTCTACTTACATTTTAGAGCCAGTCAGGGTAATTGGAAACGCTATTTGAAATTTCATGATGTCTAAGCAGTTTCATATTTTAATAAAATAAAAAAGCTTTTGGCTATTATACGAAAAGTTTGCACGGTAGAAAGTCTTAAAAACTATACTACGTTCCACGTTTAGAAAATAACATTGCGGAGATAGGGCCATGTATTTCTTATGGACGATAGCAACGCGGCGTTGCCACGACACACACAAGCACAATTTAGGGTTGTATAATTTGTATTTTTGTTTCCACAAACATGAATTAAATTAATGTTTTTTAACGTAATTGACCAAAAGTGCCCATTCGAAACAAGAGATGAAAAGTAGGGAAAATGATTTTAATTATATAAATAGTATTTACAAAAGATAATTTTATTTTATCTTACTTTAATTATAGTAACGACAGTTTATTTGTTTTTCGGTGAGAATTCGATATGCCATGAATCATAGAAATAAGTAGAAAATATTGACCGCTTGGAATGCGTATATCTAATTACTAATTGCAACTTAAAATAATACGATGTGCGTATGTCAGCTATTTTATGTCGTTCTCTGACTACATAATGATAATAAGGCTTTTATTTAGTAGTTATTCTGACTTTACAGTTAAGTGTTAATTGAAAATGAAAATTCAAAAATTAAGCAAAGGGAATATCTTGGAGATCCGTGCAAAAGAGAGTGTCTGAGAGTTTTGGCTACACTGATCTCCATAAGCGTAATGTTATTTTCTTAACTTGAAACAAAGAATAGTAAGAAAATGTCACAAAAAAGAAGGTATCCAATGTTTTCATTTACCCCACAAATTATAAGAAAAAAAAACTAAAAAGGCGGTAAATGTAAACAACGATCTCTGGTTCTGTTAAACATAATCTAAACGAAACTGGAGTAAAATGATACATGGTTTGTAATCTAAAAATCGTGCAAGTTGGTTCCGTTAAACACGCCAATGTTTACAATTACCCCCGAATACATCAAATGTACTGAGGGACTTAAAAAAAATTATGATCAAAATAAAATACATAGGTATAACAAACGAATTTTTAAGATTATAAATATTCACGTATTTACTGACGTTCAAAAATATCTAACTTATTAGGAAACTTGTAAAACATTCTTTCACCTTTTTTTAAAAATATTTGGCTCGGAGGCTATACCAATGATTTGTTGGATGTTGACGAAACTAATGTCAGTTTCCTGTATGGCAAATTGCTTGCAGGTACCATTCATACATTTTAGAGCTATATCCTTAATTTCATTTTCATCCCAATCAATATCTTCGATCATACAAAGATGTCAGCCTTTTACCGGCCTTGAATTCTACTAATACAAATTTCCCCTGCTGGAGTTTGTGGTGTTCTGCAGCCTCTAGTTCTTGTAGCTAGCTTATAGTAAATCTTAGTAATTGTATTAAAAATCCTATGTTCGGATTTAAAATTCCAAATGTGTATATCTATGGTAATATTATTAGGGCAATATGTAGTTTTATGTCAGTTGCCTCAGGATTCGTTGTCAAAGGTAGCATTATTGAGAAAATTTCTCCAGAAGCAAATATTGATTCCCCTCTACTAGCTCTGAAACAGTTTGTCCTAATGAAGTGGTATCCTTTAAAACATTTAAAGATGTTCAAGGTACGGATGATATCCATCGCAGTTCCATTGTAAAATAGTGAATTTTAAACTAATTCAGTTAGTAGAAAAAATATACCTTATACTAATTACATAGATTTTTAGAAAAGATCAATATCATTGCGGTTAAAGTAATATAAATTATTGGATGTAATACTGGCAAATTTATCAGCGTCTAGATAGCATTTTATTCCTAAAATCGTAATAAATCATGGAAATATGATTTTTAGAAAAAAATGCTATCTTCTTTCCTATTGGTCTTAGAAGGTTTTCTTTTCTTTTGGTAAGTGTGCTTCTTCACCAGCTTTTCATTGAGCCTACCAACAAGCGTGTGACGTAAAAAATGTCGAAGTTATTATAATTGTTTATAAACTAAAAAGTCAGTCCTTTTTCAAACTGTTTTTTAATTACAAATTTAATAAAATGTTGCAGTTTTTTAATACGCCTTAAAAATGTACCCTTATAGAATCGATTTCGATTTACAGAACACCTCTAGAGTGAGTCTCTGGGCAAGAATAGTTGTTTAAATTATCGCTCTTTGGCATAAACAGATTGAATAATTTATAAACTATTCAGTCGGGTAAATCCCTACGAAGTGGCCCAATATAAATTAAGTGGGTTGCTTGACTATTTTTAACATTTTTTATTTTTCTACCAAATAACCTTCAGTTATAGAGTATACAAAATTGCATTAATTTTATTTTTTTTTTATTTATTTTGCCGATGGCGGCCATTTTTGTTTCATCTTGTCGGTCATTTTCACAGAAAACATGGCTTCGTTCTTTAGCCAATATTTTCACTTAGATTTGTCCTAGAACAATAGATCAAAAACCAAACTGTAAAAGTCTGCTCTAAAAAAAAAGTGGTCCATAGCATTATTTAATTACAAACTACCCTTAAGACCTTAAATGGACCTCGAAGTTTAAAAAGATAAACTGATAAAATTCCGTTTTCAGCATTTCTAACAACATAAGGCAAGCTAATAGCGGTTTGTAATTTTTTTTTTTTTTTTGAAAAGACATACATATATACTTTAAATGAAAAAAGTTTGAGCCTTTTAATATCTCTGATGGGCAAGCAACTAAAAATTTGAAATTTGGCTGAATGTTAGTTCATAAAGAGTAAAATAAGGGGTAAAAATTTGAAGTTGTAGACTTAAGGCATATAGGAGTTACAGGTCTGAGAAAATGGCAAAAAATCATTAATTTGAGCGTTTGCGGTAGAGTAATTAAAATTCAAATAAACTATTTGATAAAATAAAAATTAATGTATTTTCACCAAATTTCACAATAAATACAAATTTATACTACTTACATTATAGAAATATTAACCTTCATTTAGAATTTTGACAGTTCAGAAGTTGGGATATTTCATGGCATAAATCTTGAGATATGTTAGATTGCGTCCAGTTGCTGTTTTTAGTTCTGAGGGTGTGAATTTTCAAACAAGTTTTAAATCTATCTTCAAGTTGTGATTCATGTTGTAGGATTTCTTCACTTTTAACATAATAATACTGAATACCTTTTAAATTCTGTATATAGAAATCAAACATATCTTTTGGAGTTAAAATTTGATTTTTACAAGTTGATTGTAAACTGGTTTTAGTAACTTCTCTTTTTGTTGTGCTGCCGATACCATCGCATGCATTTTCCCGTGGGATGTTGCAAAAAAGATTCATTCCGCCTGTAGACCAAAATCTTGCTCATGATGACAGATATTCAGAAATTTTTTTTATTTTTATATTAGCTATTGGCACCATCAGTAAAATAAATTACTCTTTTAATAGCTGGAGTAATATCTTTTAAGTCTTCAATGAAATATTTCTGAAAACAGTCAACCACGGCAGTGTTATGTAGTTGATAGTTACTTATGATGCGTAGAAGATATTTTTATTTGTGGACTGGCTTTTCTTCGATGCGCATAGACACACAGTCTTTTTTCCAAGGCAAATCCTGCTATTTTTTTTTTAATGAAGGTTAATATTTCTATATGTATATTAAAGTATATATGTATGTCTTTTCCAGAAAAAAATTACAAACCGTTATTAGCTTGCCTTATGTTCTTAAAAAAATGCTGAAAACGGAATTTTATCAGTTTACCTTTTCAAAAGGGTAGTTTGTAATTAAATAATGCTACAAACCTTTTTTAAGAGCATACTTTTCCAAACAGTTTGGTTTTTGATTTATTATTTTAGGACAAATCTAAGTGAAAATATTGGCTAGAGTGAAGCAATGTTTTCCGTGAAAATGACCGACATAAATAAAATTAATGCAATTTTGTACTGTCTATAGACTGAACTATAAAAAGTAGAAAAATAGAAAATATTAAAAATAGTCAAGCATCCACCTTTGGATCACTTGGCATGGATTGACCCCTTCAATATGTTTAAAATTTATAACACCTTATTAACACCATTATGTAAATAACAAAATTATAACATTTATTAATTACTGCAAAATGAAGGGTTTTTTTTGCAACTGTCTTGGTGAATTCTTTATGTATTTTAATTTAGAAACTCGCAAATTGAAAAACATTTTAAGATCTGCAATTTTTGTTAGAACCATTTTTCTCGTGAACAAGAAACGTTTTATAGCCAAAAAATGACTTTTTCACTTTTTAAGATTGTTTAAAACAAAAACAAAGCAAAATCAGCTGTACATCTTTTTTACAGATTTTTCATCAGTTACTCCTTATAGAACTTTAAAATATCTGTATAAGATTTTTACATGAAACCAATGATTTTTTCCAGAAAGACTGGTTTAAAATATATGCACACTACATACCTAATGTGTTTCAATGTGTTAAATATCAACAAACAGAATCAGATACAATTGACACCATACAGGGCAGTGTATTAATACAGTGTATTCAGGTGTTAAAATGTGTCATAAGTATCACTGTGTCAGTTCCACTGTACCTATAAATACAATTGACACACTGTATCAACACAAAAGTGCCATTCAACAGTTTTGCACATCTCTAGTTGTGATACCTTCGTGATTGTCCTGTTTATCTATATTTGTATATATTTGTATACAATTCCTTCATATCAAAGTAATGCACACATAGTATGCTACAAGAACAAAAACTTCCATCATTACATGGTTTTTACTCTAACTCATAATCACTCAAAAGCATTATTCTATTAGTGTATGAATATTAAAACAACTTTTTTTTTCAGCTGTGGATAATGTGCAACTAACCAACAGTCTTACAACTAACTCATGTGATAATAACAGTGCAGATAAAGAAACTATTAAGGAATTTGTTCCAAAGAATTTTGTAAGCAGTACAGTTGCTGATCCTGAAAACAATGTTAGTGATAATCAGGAGGTTGTGTTAACAGATGATGTTAAGTTAAATTCACAAGATGATAGATTATTTAATACTAGTGAGATAAAGCAAGAAGATGAGCAGCCTAAAGCTGAACCAGAACCTCCTGAGCCTAGTGATACAGACAACAATAAAAACAGGTCAGTATTCAGTATTTTCATAAAGTTACATGTTTTAGAATTAGCACTGAATTTTTGCATAATTATAATTTAGTATTTTATCTGAATTTCCAATTGTGCTGTTCTTCTAATTTTTCGTATTCTTTACTTATTTTTCAATTTCAATTTAATGCTATCCTAAGGCTCAACTACCGGTATAAAGTTCTGAAACTGACAGAAATAATACTCATTCTGAAACCTGGCAAATCCTAATAATGTCACATCATATCAACCAATAATATTACCACCTGTTATCTCCAAAATAGTTGAAAAACTACTGCTACAAAGAATAAATTTCGATACTGATACTGAAGAATGAATACCAACTCACCAGTTTGGCTTTAGAGAAATACACTCAACGGAATTATTCATAATATAACCCAAGGATTAGGAGACAAACACTTCCTGCACCTCTGAAACTCTAGATGTCAGTCAAGCCCTGGACAAGGTGTGGCACACAGGATTATTATTCAAGATAAAAAAGTATCTTATCTGAGTGACAACGTTCTCATGTTTTATTGGCCCACTCCTATACACAACACTGTAGTATACACAACAAACCTCCTTGTTACTAGAGAAACCACAATAAGTTCATTTGCCAATGACACTGGTATCCTTGCAAGAGATGCAAATCCTGTGAGAGCTTCCACACTTCTCCAAAGTGTCTTGGATCAAATACAAATATGGCTGCAAAAATCTGTGCAAGTTACAGTTACCCCGAGGAAGCACCAGTGTACCTAAACAACATACAAATACTACAATCCACAAACAAAAAATATTTAGGAATTCACCTAGACAGCGGACTAACCTGGAGAGAACATATAACCAAAAAACACAAACAAATTGATTTAGAAGTAAAAGATATATTTACTGGCTAATCAGTAAAAAGTAGAAAGTATCATTAAAAAAATGTCTGTAAAGATAACAAATCCATTTTATAAGACCGAATTCAGACCAAAAATATAATTTATTGCTGTAGCCGTTTCCGAGAAACAGTGAATAAGCTAATACAGTAAAGCTAACATAGCCATAGCTATATCTGGGCAAGGAAAAGGGGAACAGGGCCCATCTTGGCGGCATATTTAATTGCTGTTAATTGGTATATTGACCAAACCCCAAAAGTTACCCCATCATCCCCTAGCCCAAAACACACCTTCGGAATACGCCAAAAAGCGAACCGCAAGGAATTGATTGCTAATCTGCAATTGTTTCCGAGGAAAAATGATTATGTTAACTTTACAGTAAAGCTAGCATAGCCATTGCTATATCTCGGCAAGGCAAAGGGATACAGGGTCCGTCATGGCGGCATATTTTATTGCTAATTATTTGCTGTTGATTGATATATTAACCAATCCCCAAAAGCTCCAAATCATTCATGGTTTCAAACTCACCATGGTTACGTCGAATATGTCGTCCCAGAATATCCCATGCATGCTCTATTGGATTTAAGTCTTCATTCCTTGGGGTCATGGTATTAAATGAATCCCAACTTCATCTAAGTAATCCCGTGTTATTCTTGCAATGTGCAGACGAACATTATTGCATCAGACGAAAGTTTTCTCCAACAAATGAGGCAAATAGCACTACATGACCTTCCAAACATTGCTGAATATACCGTTGAGCGTTCATATTGCTCCCTTGAATTGTGACAAGTTCTGTATGAGCATCTAGGGAAATGTCTGCCCACACCAGTATACTGCCTCCACCAAATTAAACTCTCGGAGTAAAACAACATTGCTGATAACGTTCATCAGCTCTTCTCCACATCCTAGACCGCCCATCTGATGAGTATCTGTTAAATCTTGATTCATCCGTGAAAAGCACAGCACTCATCAGCACCCCAATTAAGATGTTCGCGAGCGAAGTGTAAACATTGCCTCCGATGATCTGCTGTTAATAGAGGTATTATGGACCTTTATCCATATTTATTTAAGCGTCTTCGAACTGTATAAACGAAAACTGGACATCATTTAATCGTTGAAAAAGTACTGGTGCTGATAAAGTACGATCGCGTAACGCTTGTAATCTAAGAAAGTGATCTTCAACTTGACTTGTGATTCTTCGTTGGTGGTTCTACCTTGACCTGGCCTCCTGGTGTATTGTCCTGTTTCCCGAAATCTTTATATTGCATAAACACTGTACTTAGAGAAATTCCTAAAGCATTTGCGATGTAACGAATGACCCGCCCACTACTTCTTCTGTTGTCATAATTTTTTTAATGCGTTTTAAACAGTAGACAATATAAAAACCTACAGCCGAACTTATAATCAGTTACAGTACCACCATAAACTTAAATCAATACTTAGCCACTATTTCACATTAATAACAAAACGTATGTGTAAAAGTGTTATTTTTCATACAAAACATCTAAACAGGTTCAAACGAGAAAAAAACGTTATCGCTAATAAGGTATAATATACAATTCAAACAAATTAAACAAGTTTTGATCTGACCACCAACAAAAAACAAAAAAAATCTGAATGTCCGGTTAATTTTGCACCTCATTGTATATCTATGGCTATGCTAGCTTTACCGTAAAGTTAGCATCCCCACTGTTTCTCGGAAACAGTAATATTTTTTTTTGTTTCCGTAATAAACTAGCAATAAATTAGACTGTTGGTCTGAATTCGGCCTTATAAAATGGATATGCTAACTTTACCTTCTTCTTCTTCGCGTGCCATATCAGAACTATCCGACGTTGGCGATCACCATTGCGAATGCTTCTCGATCTTCTGCAATATGGAATAATTGTCCTGTATTTGGTATCTGAGTCCATTCACGAATGTCTTTTAACCAAGAAACTTGTTTTCTCCCTACACCTCTACGGCCCTCTATTTTGCCTTTAAGGATCAGTTGTAAAATTTTATATCGACTTCCCCTTACTATATGTCCCAGATAAGACATTTTTCTATGTTTAACAGTCTTTAGCAGTTCTCTGTCTTTGTTGACGCTCCTTAGTACTTCTTCATTAGTTTTTCTTGCTGTCCAAGGTATCTTCAGCATTCGTCTATGAACCCACATTTCCAATGCTTCAATTTTGTTCATGATCGATACTTTTACCGTCCACACTTCTGCACTATACAAAAGTACAGACCAAACATAACACTTAAAATTCTTTGCCTTAGTTCTAAACTGAGATGGGAAACAAAAGTATAGACCAAACATAACACTTAAAATTCTTTGCCTTAGTTCTAAACTGAGATGGTTATTGCAAAGAAATGACTTCATTTTCATAATAAGTAGTTTTAGTCATTGCTATTCTACGTTTTATTTCTGTCTGGATCTAGTTGGTCCGTTATCACAGTTCCCAAATATGTCAAACTTTCTCAACTTGGACTCCGTTCACTTGAAGCTTTGCATCGGGATGTGGGTCACGACTAAACACTAAAAATTTGGTTTTGTTTGAGTTTATTTTAATGCCCATTTCCTCTCCTACCTTGGGAATACGATCAAGCAGAATTTGAAGACCTTCAATATTATCTGATAGAATTACTGTATCGTCTGCATATCTAATCACATTAAGTAGTTCCCCGTTGATTTTTATTCCATATGGTTGTCTCTCAAGTGCCTTTTTAAATAGCTGGTCCGAGTAAACATTGAACAATGTTGGCGACAAAATGCAACCTTGTCTGACTCCTCGTTGTATGGGGATTTCATCGGTGTAGTTATCTCCAATTTTTACGATAGCAGTTTGATTCCAGTACAAATTTTTAATGACACGAATATCCTTGTCATCTATTCCGATATTTTTCAGTATTTGCATTAAATTTACATGCTGTACTTTATCGAATGCCTTTTCGAAGTCCACGAAACATGCAAATACATCTTTTCTTTGGTCACGGCATTTTTGTAATAGGATGTTTAGCGCAAAAAGTGCCTCCCTGGTTCCCATAGCATTTCTAAAACCAAATTGGGTATCTTCAAGATCTTCTTCGCATTTGCGTCTAATTCTGTTGTGAAGTATTCTGAGGGAAATTTTAAGAGTGTGGCTCATTAGGCTAATTAATCGATATTCTGAGCATTTTCTCGCATTGTGTTTTTTAGGTATTGCGATAAAGATGGATTTGAGCCAATCTGCGGGAATCACTCCGGTGTTATATATTGAATTAAATAATCTTACTACTACTTTTATGTTTTCATTTTCAATTAGTTTCAGCAACTCGGTGTATCATCTGGACCACAAGCTTTTCTAATTTTAGCATTATTTATAGCATGTTCTACTTCGCATTTCATAATTTCTGGGCCGTCAGTACAGTTTTGGTAGAATTCGACAATATTATTCCTGTCATCTTCAAACAACTCTGATATATACAGCTGCCATTCTTTTCTTATTTCTTGCTCATTTACAATAATTTTGTTATTAGTGTCAACAAGTACAGAGGGAATTCGTTTTTTAAATATATTACTCATTTCTTTCAATTTTTTGTGCACATTAAATAAGTCGTGTTTAGATATTACATTCTCCATATTATCATTTTGTAGACAAGTATAATTTCGGGTCCTTCTTTTTCTTTTTTATTCCTTTCTCAGCCCTAGTTTGAAGAGTATTTCCTTTATTTTTTAGTCAAACTACGGTTGTGTTAAGACCGGCATCTCTATTAGATTATACTGCACAAGGGGCAGAATTATGGGTTTATCTATAATTATTTTACAATCTAGAAAATAGACTACGTCATATAGTATTACCTGTAGGATACGAGTCTAAGTAAAGAACAATTATAAAACTCCTCTGGACATATGGGGCGGAACTATGGATACTATGGGCGGAACTATGCGCAAGCAAGTCAAACATCTCAGTGATACAACAAAGTCAATCCAAAATACTGTGATAACAGATGCACCATGATACGATATGTCTCCAATCAAACACTACACGAAGACCTAAAAATAGATTATGTTGAAAGAAGTCATTCAAAGGCAAAAGCATAAAACACCATAAATAAGAAACTCACACAAATTTATAGTTTAGCCACTACTACTGCCATATACCACAAGATTAAAGAGAATTGGAGAGCAGGACCTACAAAATAGTTGAAGAGGACTAGTCGATGGAGAAGGCCTTGTCACATCAAATGTATGCTCTTAAGTCAACACATTAGCCACAACATTAGTCAATTTAAAAAATGTATCAACATATATAATCAAAAGATCTGTCTGTTTTTTTTTGGGTCCAGTCGCAACTCTTCTTGGGTATTATTTCTAACAACATTAATGTTTTCCTTAATTTGTTTTAGTTTGTTTACTGTTGTATAAAAAGAAGTATGTTTTTCATTCCATAGTATCATTTTGTAGCAAGTATATTTCTGGTCCTTCTTTTTCTTTTACCTTTCTCTGCCTAGTTTGAAAGTATTCTTTATTTTTAGTCAACTATCGGTTGTTTAAGACCTGCATCTCTATTAGTTTATATGCATAGGGCAGTATTTGGTTTTAGATTATTTTACATTCTAGAAATTAGTCTAACGTATAGTATTCCTGTAGGTATAATCTAAGTAAAGAAGATTTAAATGAAGCAACAGATATGAATCGATCAATATATGATCCTAATCCCATACCAACTTATGAAAACCTTAAATTCCATTCATTAAAAATTGACTGTGACACTATGAAGAGTGAATTTAAACCCATAAGTAATTCTCAAGATAACATTCATCTAATAACAAAAAGTCTTTCTATCCCAAGAAAGCCTCTAAAACTAATGAAGTTATGTTCAAGCTTTGTTAATACTCTAGATTCTAACCTGCTTAAAGGCAAAACAAGGTTTGAAAATTGAATGTCAATATAAAACATAGCTTACAGCAAAATTAAGATAATGGATAAACATACAGCTAGTTCTTCAGATTCAGTTGATTAGAAACATCAAGAGTCACCTTTATATATATATATATATTTATATATATATTATATATATATATATATATATATATATATCAATGTTGACTGTAATCATTCTTTTATATTTTTAAGAAGGTGTAAGAAGTAGTAATTTTGAATTATCAAGGTCTGTTAAGCCCCCTTATATAATTTACTTTTTATATCTTATGTATCTATCCCAGAATATTGTTTTTGGGGTGCTTTACATCTATCTATTCATATAACATGTTTTATTCTTGCAGGTGTAAATTAAGTGACATAGATACAGAAGCAGATTTAGGTGTAAATCCAACAATGCACTATCCAAATCCCATACCTGAAATACCACAAGAAACAGAATTAGGTGTAAATCCAACAATGCACTACCCAAATCCCCTACCTGAAACTCCAAAAGAAGCAGTATTAAGTGTAAATCCAACAATGCACTATCCAAATCCCATACCTGAAACTCCACAAGACGCAGAATTAGGTGTAAATCCAACAATGCACTATCCAAATCCCATACCTGAAATACCACAAGAAACAGAATTAGGTGTAAATCCAACAATGCACTACCCAAATCCCATACCTGAAATACCACAAGAAGACAGAATTAGGTGTAAATCCAACAATGCACTATCCAAATCCCATACCTGAAATCCACAAGAGCAGAATTAGGTGTAAATCCAACAATGCACTATCCTAAATCCCCTACCTGAAACTCCAAAAGAAGCAGTATTAAGTGTAAATCCAACAATGCACTATCCAAATCCCATACCTGAAACTCCACAAGACGCAGAATTAGGTGTAAATCCAACAATGCACTATCCAAATCCCATACCTGAAACTCCACAAGACGCAGAATTAGGTGTAAACCCAACAATGCACTATCCAAATCCCATACCTGAAATACCACAAGAAACAGAATTAGGTGTAAATCCAACAATGCACTACCCAAATCCCATACCTGAAACTCCAAAAGAAGCAGTATTAAGTGTAAATCCAACAATGCACTATCCAAATCCCATACCTGAAACTCTACAAGACGCAGAATTAGGTGTAAATCCAACAATGCACTATCCAAATCCCATACCCGAAACTCCACAAAACCTACAAATTCCATCTTTAACAATGGCCTTTGGTTCTGTAAAAAATCAATTTAGTAGTCAAATTAGACAATATCAAGATTGTAATGTTTATCCTATAAAACAAAATCTTTCTACTGTAAAAAATGTAAAGTTATGTTCAAGTTTTATTGATACTCTAGACCATGCCTTGCTTACAGGCAAAATAGAGTGTGATCTTTTGACATCTATTGAAAACATAGCTTATAGTAAAATTAAAGTGATGGATAAACATACATCTAGCTCTTCAGATCCCAGCTGGTTAGAAGAGTCAAGAAGAAACTTTGACACTAGTGACTTTATTGGGTCTCTTATATCTGAGGAAGGCCTAACAAGTAGCGATTTGGAATTATCGAGGTCTGTTCTTTCTTATATTTAACCCTTTATATCATAAATGTAAATCGAAAAATTTTGTATTTGGGATAATTTACTGTGTAGCTGTATTAGTGTAGTATATGGTTTATTCTTGTAGGTATAATTCAAGTGAAATAGATATAGAAGAAGAATTGGGTAGGAATTCCGCAACTAACCATCCTCATTCCATACCTAAAACTCCACTAAACCTCCAATTTCCATCTTTAAAAATAGGCGGGGGTTCGGAAAAGAATACATTTAGTTGTAAAATTAGAGAACATCAAGGTGGTAATCATGATCTACTTAAAAATAAAGCAGGGTGTGATCTGTGCGGTTTGGAATTATCGAGGTCTGTTCTTTCTTATATTTAACTCTTTATATCATAAATGTAAATCTCAGAATTTTGTATTTGACTTGATTAACTGTGTATTTGTGTTAGTGTAGTATAGACTAGTGGTGAAAATTATGGAAACTTTTCCAAAAATGTTGGTTTTGTTATCAACATTCCTCTTTTTCACAAAAAACTATGTTATTTATAAGTTTATCTATGATTTTATTGCATCGTTTTATGCTTCTACTTAATATTTAAAATATATTTTAAGAAGAAAAAAACCTCTAAAAATTTAAAAATTAATAAAACAACAGCCGTTAGATATAAGTAGATATATTTAAAAAAAAAAATGGTACAATAGTTATTATCAAGAAAATTAATATATCGTGGGATAACCTTTATTTTTTAGGCCAAACTCGATTCTGTGTGGCATGGCGTTCACGAGACGAGCCAAATCTTCTGGTGTAATAACTCTAAAAAATTATTTTTAAATAAAATGGCTTCTATCAGTTTTCTCTTGTTACTTGGGTTTCGGCGTGATACTAACACTTTCAGCCTTGACTATAAACTTTCTATTAGATTTAGATCGGGATCATTTCCAGGTCAAGGCAAGACTGTAGTGTCATGGTTTGTCTTGCCTTGTCATAGCCATATGACAAGGCGCTCCATCCTGCTGGAAGATGCATTATTGGTCATCCCTTTCAAACACATCTCGATAGTCGACATCAGTTTGACTTGCAGTATCTCTTCCTGATATTTTTTGCATTAATATTGCCCTTATTACTACTAAACGTCCAACTCCATTAGTGGTCATACAAGTCCATACGATGACACTCACAGGACGCTTCGTAATCACTGTTGTACACTGTCACTCCCAAAGATCGGGATTCTGGTTTCGTCACTCCAAATTATCTTACCCCACTGTTCTTCTGTCCACCCTCTGTGTGCCAAAGTCCAATCAATGCGTTTTTGCCTTTGTTTTTTGTTCAGCAACGGCTTCTTTCTAGGTGTTCATGCTTGCAATCCATTTTCACACAGCTTTCTTCTGATAGTGCGGTCCGATATTTGTAAGCCAGTTGATTTGACAATAGCATTAATTTCTTTTGCGGATCTGCTTGTTCTTCAAGTGCCATCTCCGCGGCGGAGGTCGGCAATCATCATAGCTATTCGGACTTTTGAGACGGCTGATCTGAAAGGTTCATTTGATGTATAGTTGTTCTACGATGTCAGTTGGACAAGTCATAAAAAACAAAATTCGACACTCAAGTGTCGGCGTCTTTGTAAAACATAGGCGGCGCAATAGAAATGAAATAATAAACTTTTATTTTTAAAATTAAGGTCTAATATTTTGTTAAACAGTAATAATATTGTTAATTATTCACATTTCTTTATGAACTTGACACCAAAGATGATTAAAAGTTAATACACAATATAGTCCATTCACTAACGGTAAAATATTGTAAAAACCTCTAAATTTTAAAGAACCACTGGGATTGACATGAAATTTGTCATACACATATAGCTAACGTGTCAAAGAAAAAAAGTGATATTGTGCCGATGTGTATTTTTGCCTGGGGGTGAGTACCGCACCTTCTTGGGGGTGAAAAGATATACATCCAAAATAAGTCCGGAAGTGGATAAACTGACTAATTCTAGGTAACTTTTGTTCTATAGAGGTTTTTACTAAATCAATACTTTTCGAGTTATTTGCGAGTGAATATATTCATTTTTCATCAAAAACACCACGTTTTTGGACGATTTCTCGCAAATAACTCAAAAGGTAAGTATTTTAGGAAAAAATGTTCGTAGCAAAAATACAGTTTATAAAAAAGTGAAAACAATGGTATATGTATGAAGTCTGTATACCCAGCAGAAGCAGAGTTATAGCTAATGAAAAATAGATTCTTACCTATTCGTCAAATTCCATATCGAATAATTCAACGTGAAATAATAAAAAAAAATGTTTTTTACTTTTTTTTTTTAATTGTTTAAAGAAATCTTTATTTTTGATTTTTAAAAAAGTTTCTAGCATCAAACGTAAGCAAGTTACGCTCAAAACAAAGTTGATCCCTTTTTTGGTAAAAAATAATCATGAATATGATCTGTAAGTTTCATCGGTTTAAAGAGCTTATTTTTGAAAGATACTTACATGAAATCGGCCAATTCGTCTTACAGTCGAATTGTCTCTTAGGTTATGGATTAATCGAGAGATCACATTAACTTCGATACACAGAACATATTTTTGACAAGTTGTGGAAGTCTTTGTAGAAATATTCAAACAATTAAACACTATCACTATCCGTGTGTCCAGAACTTGAGTCGTCGTTTGTGTTTATAACTACCGGTTCAATTGGTGGTAAAGTAGGATATTCTTTTTCTTTTACTTGAACATGCGCTACACAATTTTTCCAAATGTCAGTTTTGTTAAGTTCTTCGATCACTGTTCTTATATTTTGGACAACAACGTCACTTAATTGGGGAGATTGATTCATTTTCCGCAATTTCTTTTTTACATTGGCCATATCATTTCAATTGGGTTGAAAACACAATGATATGGAGGGAGCCGTAAAACCGTATGCCCGTGGCGTTCAAAGAGTTTATCTATTACATATTCTTTTTGAAAATTTTGTTGCTTAATTAATTGCAACAATTCCTTTTTGGTACATTTACTAGGTGTTGCCATGCACTTGTTCTCCATAAATTCTATGATATCTCCCTTCTTGGAGCTAGTATTTGGAATTTTGGTGTAGAGTCTAGAATGGTATGACGCATTATCCATTACTATCACGGAATTTGTTTTAATATTCGGTAACAGCTGTTCCGTTGCCAATTTTTCGAAAAGTTCAGCCGTCATATCCTCATGATAATCAGCTGATGACACTGTTTAATGTTTTTGGCCGATAATAACAAGGCATTAGGTACAAACCCGCTCTTAGTTCCAGCATGTAGAATTATAATTCTTTTTCCTCTCGAACAAGGAGTATTCAAGCAGCACTTTTTGCTATCATCCATCCAGCCATATTGAACTACATCATGGGTGTCAAACCACGTTTCATCAAGATACACAATGTCTCTATTGTCATCTCGATATTCTTTAATGTATTTACAACTTATTTCTACTGTCTTAACTCAAACTTAACTAAAACACAACACTACTGTTTGCACAAAAATATTAAAAATATACGTGAACTTGCTGTCGTACACGACGATACTGAATATATCGTTTAGTATGAGAAACCTGAGAAGGCATTTTTGACCAGATAACGATCAAGTTTGAGCGTAATAACTTCCGAAGAATATGACTAATTACACTTCAGTAGTGCCCGATAAGATACGTAGAAAGTAATAAACCACAGCTGCAATGTGGACAATACCGTTAGTGATCAATTACAAATAATGTTTATATTTCTGAATTATTCGGGACTGGACCCTAAAAATTCCTTAACTTTTATTGAAATTTAAAATTGATGATTAAAAGTATATACATACATAATGCAAATGAAATGTAATGTGCTTATTAATTGAGAACTAAAAAATGAGACTGCAATTTTACTATAAAAATAAAATAATTTATATAATAAGTTTAAAATAAATAAAATAAGTTTATGACGACGACACTGTTATTGTGTTTATTATAATGCTTGCCGCCTTTGAAACATGAGAAGCAATTTTTACCTGATAACGGCAAAGCCAGATTTGGTATCAGTGTATTCACTTCCGAAAATTTTGACCAATTACATTTCAGTATTACCCAATAGATACGTTCAAAGTAATAAGCCACACCAATATCCATGTGGACTAATACCAGGAGTAATCAATAATTAGAATTACAAAGAATTATCTTTATTTCTATGTTTGCCATAGAATTACTGACCGACCCCAAAATTGTTCTTTCCCAATTAATATCGTAACAACTTTACATCCATACCACTCTCTCGGGTTGCGCAGCCATGACATTCTACGCCTCCCTATGCTTTTCTTTCCTTGGATATTTCCCTGCATAATCAGTTGGAGCAAAGTGTATTTCTCTCCACATGTAATATGTCCGAGATATTCCAATTTCCTTGTTTTAATTGTATTTAAAATTTCCATTTCTTTATTCATCCTTCTCAGAACCTCTTTGTTTGTGACGTGTGCTGTCCACAATATTTTCAAAATTCTTCTGTACACCACAGCTCGAATGATTCCAGTTTTTTCATTGATGTCTCGCTATTCAAGGTCCAAGATTCATTCCATAAAATAAAGTCCAAAAAACATAGCACCTCGCCAACCTAACTCTTAGTTCCAATTTTAAATCCCTTGTACATAGCACTCTTCTCATTTTGTTGAAATTTGCTCTAGCCTTTTCTATTCTGATTTTGATCTCCTGAATGTAATCATTGTGGAGTTAATCATTGTTCCCAGATATGCATATTTGTCCACTTGTTCGACATTGGTTCGTTTATACAAGATTCTCGTTATTTCTTTGAGTTTTCGATATTCTCATAAATTTCGTCTTCTTGACATTCATTGTTAGACCATACTCTTTTCCATATCCGCTATTCTGGTCACCAGCCTTGAAGATCTTCAATATTTTCAGCTAAGATCACAGTGTCGTCCGTATATCTAATGTTGTTAATGGGAATTCCATTTACCTTTATTCCAGCTGGTTCACCCTCAAGAGCGTTTTTCAGGATCTCTTCGGAGTAGGTATTAAAAAGAATTGGCGACAATACGCATCCCTGTCTCACTCCACATCTAATTTCAATTTCTTCTGACAGCTGTTCGTTAACACGTACTTTTGCTCGCTGTTTATAGTATAAATTTGATATGATCCTGAGTTCGTTATAGTCAAGCTTCTTTGATTTCAGGACATTCATTAATTGTTTATGTCGTACTTTATCGAATGCTTTATTATAGTCAATAAAACATGCGTATATATCTTGCATAAAAGCATAAAACATCAATGTGCTTCTCATCTAGAATTTTTAGGATTTCTATAGGAAGCATGTCAGGTCCAGGACTTTTTCCACTCTTCATTGTTTTTAATGGGTGTAATATTTCTTCTTTTGTAATATATATACCTATTTCTTCTGACATAAGTTCTGTGTGCGCCAGATCTCCCCTTTCATCATTGAACAATTCGTCGATATATTCTGCACATATTTATACTTTTTGGTCCGTATGTGTTATAGTAGTGCCGTGTCTATCCAGAATTGTACGAGTGAGATTTTGTTTTCTTAGTCCTGGCAGTTCTTTAACTTTCTTGTGTAGATTAAACAGATCATATTTATTTTGAAGATCTTCGATCTCTTTGCATTTTTCTTTCAAAGTATTTTTCTTTTGCCTGCTTTATCATCTTCCTGATCTCGTGGTTTATTTCTCTGTATTTATTTTTGTCTTTGTTTTTAAATTGTTTCCGGTGTTCCATTATATTGAGTATCTCGTCATTCATCCATTCTTCTTTTCTCCTTGCGGAAGTCTTTAGTGTTTCTTTACAGGGTTCCAATAGACAATGTTTTAGTCGATCCCAGTACTCATCAATATCATTGGTGTTTGTGTTCAATTTGCTGCAGTTCATGTTGAAGGCATTCTTTTACTTTAGGTTCTTTAAGTTTTCTTATGTCTATTGTAGGGATTCTTTGATGTCGTTTATTATTTTTAAGGGCGAGTGTAATCTTGGCCATAAGTGGATTGTGATCTGAGGCCACGGCTGATCCAGGATATGGCTTTCACGGCTTTAACAGCATTAACATAACAGCGGATCTACTACGATCTTCTAAAGAAAGTCGGCATATTCTGAGCTCATTGTATTGACTAACTTTCGCTTTTCTGTCTACTCTTTTTACTAATTTTGTCATTTCAGTGTTATGATAACGTTTACAAACTTTCATTACACCTGATTTTGTGGCGCCACCACCTAATTTATTTGCTATTTCTTGATGTGTGTATATGTGACTACTTTCTTCTCGAACCATAATTGCTTTGGCTCTCTTTCCGGCGATCAGTCAACACTTTTTGGGTTTCTTGGTGCCGTTTTCGTTGTATTCCTCTCCGACAATTAAACAATATCACCTTAGTAACAACTACCTGAATTCACTAATAAACACTGGAAGTCGCACGAAACTGTACTAAACGCTTCCAATTGGATTGTTGACTGACTAGCAAAACCCTGACGCAATACAGTATTGCCAATGTTGCAATTCACAAATCTGTTTCGCTTGAATCTCTTTCCACTTTTTATTAAATAATTATGTTAGTATATATAGAATGAGAAATACATAAAATATTAAGCAGAAATATAAAACAATAAAATAAAAATGTAATTGTATTAAAGAATTAAATCTTTTAGCGAAAGCCGCTATCGCTTTATATATTAAATGGCCAACTATATGGCCTAGGAGACAAATTCGTTAAACTTCCCGTGCTGGAATTGGTATCACTAAAGTGTTATGATCATTTCGGCCTATCCCAGCCATCGTCAGACACTTGGGCTGATACAAATTCAAACTCGGAAAGTAAAACGAATGTCTCCCAAATCTTTACTACCGTGTAGTTAGCTTATAAAGGCGCCCCCTACTAAAGGATACAGAAAACGATTATTGATATCGTTTCGTTCACGGCCTTCAAAGTAGGGGGCGCCTTTATAAGCTAACTACACGGTAGTAAAGATTTGGGAGACATTCGTTTTACTTTCCGAGTTTGAATTTGTATCAGCCCAAGTGTCTGACGATGGCTGGGATAGGCCGAAATGATCATAACACTTTAGTGATACCAATTCGAGCACGGGAAGTTTAACGAATTTGTCTCCTAGGCCATATAGTTGGCCATTTAATATGTAATTGTATTGATAAACTATATAAATCACGTTCATGAGACGAGTGTTGCTGGAAAAACGATAATTTTTATAAAGTTCCCAGAAATTTAGCCACTAGTGTATGGTTTATTCTTGCAGATATAATTCAAGTGACATAGATATAGAAGCAAAATTAGATGGGAATCCCGCAACAAACCATCCTCATTCCATACCTAAAACTCCTCAAAACCTCCAATTTCCATCTGTAAAAATGGCCGGGGGTTCTGAAAAGATTACATTTAGTTCTAAAATTAGAGAATATCAAGACGGTAATCATCCTATCACAAAAGGTCATTCTAGCCCAAAAAAACCCATAAAAACTATGAAGTTATGTTCAAGCTTTATTGATACTCTAGACCATGACCTGCTTACGGGCAAAATAGAGTGTGATCTTTTGACATCTATTGAAAACATAGCTTATAGTAAAATTAAGGTAATGGACAAACATACATCTAGCTCTTCAGATTCCAGCTGGTTAGAAAAATCAAGAAGAACCTTTGACAATAGTGACTTATCAAGGTCTGTTCATTTCCTTATTTTAATCCAATCATATATACCTTATTCCTGTAGATCCTAGTATATCTTATGTACCTATCCTAAGATATTGTTCTAGGTTAGTTATTTTACAGACTGTTTGTGTAATATTATGTTTCTTTTTTCAGGTGTAATTCAAATGAGGAAAGTTTAAATATAAAAGATGAATCAGATATCAATCGCGCAATGTACTATCCATATCCAACACCCAAAGATTCTGAAAATCTGCAATCTTGGCCTTTAACAACAAGTGGCTGTGATTCCCCTAATGGGTTTATAAAGAGTAATGTTACTTCTAATAGCAGCGAAATTAGAGATAGTAAAGATAACTCTTCTCATCCAATTTTAAACAATCTAGCTGACCCAAAAAAACCAGTAAAGCCAAAGAAGATATGTTCCAGCTTGGTTGAGAATATGGATTATAATTTGCTTAAAGGAAAAGAAGGATATGAGCTTCTAACGGCTGTTGAAAACTTAGCAAATAGTAAAATTAAGGTAATGGACAGACATACATCTAGCTCTACAGATTCCAGTTGCTCCTTACGAAAATCAAGAACAAGGTCTGTTGATATTGCTGTGAAACCAACTACAGGAGTTAAGCGGGCCCATTCTGAAGACAACAATTCTTTGAAAGCTAAAGTGCCGAGAGTTGACCAAGATTCCAAAAATAAATTAATTACAACAACATCTTCATCGACATCTTCGTCATCAAAAAGTGTGAACAATAAAGATGAGAGGAAACATCGGCATGAACACAAAAGTTCTAAAAAATCATCGCACAATTCAAAATATAAACACTCAAGTCATAGAAGTGAGCCTCGAGCAAGACTTCTTACCAATGGCAACTATAGTTACCCTCCTGAAGATGTGAGTACTTTTTACATTCTTTTTTCAGATAAAAATGTTGATTCTTATTCCGTCTATTAATTATGCTGTTTTCCTTCTATATCCATGTGTTTTTCTCTTCCCTCCAATTGACCTATCTTTCTATAGGATGTCTTTTAAAGTATGGATAATTTTTTTTGTTCGCTTTTTCAGAAAACACTGAAGTACCGCAAATACTACCACATAGAAACCCATACCAATGGAGGTGCTAAGATCCTCAGAATGTATCAAGATGAAATAAAACACCTTAGTCCCACTGAGTCTAAAGAGTTAGCAAATGAGTTCTTCAAACTAGCATTCCAAGAAGACAAAGATGGCTGGGCAACATTTGTAGTTGCAGTTGTTCATGGTGGTGCGACTTATCTTCCAGATATTTTGACCTACATGGCAGAGAACTACCCCTCCCTTACTGTCAAGAATGGATTGTTAAGCAAGAGTTCCGATATTGAAACAACAACGCTGGCAAATTATCATGAAAATGTTTGCAAACACTATGAAGCTGGCACTGTTCGATATGGACCACTTCATCAGATTAGTATTGTTGGTACTGCGCATGAAGAAGTTGGTGGATATTTTCCAGATTTGTTATTAATGTTGGAAGATAACGAATTTCTCAACTTGGTATGTTGTCTTTAAAAAACTTATACCTTATAAGTATATAATTTTTAATTGTTTTAGACAATGCCTTGGGGAGCTCTATCCATTTGTGATCAAATGAGACCTACAGAAAGTAACGATGGACCTATTATTTGGTGTAGACCAGGAGAACAGCTTGTACCCACAGCAGATTCGAAGTCGCCTAATAAGAGAAAAAGGTTAGTATATAATATTTACACAAGAAATACCCAACTATAAACTCAAAATTAAAATATGAAGTTCTAGTCTGTTATGGTAAACATTCTGCTATAGACCAATCAAATTAGTAAAAAATAAGAATTTTTTCTCATAACTGTATAGACGGGTTGGACAGTTGAAATGTGTAGTATGAGATAATACAAAAAGAGTCATCTGCTAGGGAATTACCATTTTTTTTATGGAAATATTTTCCTCCATCAAAACACCAAACTTATTATTTAACTAATAACTTAAAAACTTATCTTTTTAGAGACCTCAACATTTTTTTTTTTTTTTCAGAAAAAAAAAGATACACAAAATGAGATATGCTAAATTAAAATCGGTTCAAAACCAAAAACTTTTTTAAATTAAAATCGGTTCAAAACCAAAAACTTTTTTATTGTTTATTAAAATTTGTTTAAATGTACCTGAACTAGAGGGTCTTATCGTGTTTAAATTGTGTGCATAATATGGGCCAGATCGGTTGAAATGTTTTTGCAAAATTTAATTTGTTTATAAGATTGAAACTAAGACCATAAGTTAGACCAGGAATTGAAGCTGAAAAAATGGTAAAACCTCACAATTTTTTAGTCCAATATCGATTTGTACAAAAATTTGGGATTAGGCTTATTTCACCCTCCAGTTCATTTTCTATATCGAGCCGTTGTACGCTATTGGTTTTTTAAGGGTGAAAACTACCCCTAATTGTAAAAAAATATAAAATAAAATTATAAACTGTAATATGGTCAACATTTGATTTTTATTAGTTAAATAATAATTGTTTTATGCTTTAGAATATATCATAATATTTCGACCCTTAAAACCACCCTTGTTGGAGCTATATATAAATGTTATATAACTTATATTATACGGTATAGGTAAAAGTTTATTGTCGGTATTGGTAGAATTTAACAGGATATCTAACACAGAATTAACAAAGAAAACAAATATATTTCCCGTCGGTCTCCCCTCCACATTTTTTATACACGCCCTGTTTTGTATTGGATTGCCGTAGTTCGGTATAAATTAAATCCGTTCGATTTTTGTGGACTGTATATTTTTATAATTTACAAACAATACTGTATCCTAACAAATCAAAACTTAAACTCTAGCTGTCCCTCTTCGTCGCCATCATGGCTCTCTCTCTCTCTCTCACATTGACACTTGCTCACGAGTCGGCGCGTGGATGCCGCTCACAGAGTCGGCTTAGCTACACTGTTCATGCCGCCTCCCTTGAAAGGCTGAAGTAACACATGCCTTTCAACAGACTAAACTTGTGTCAGTAACTATACAACCGGACGAGATAGTTGTCACTAATCGGTAAAACACATAATTTCGCGCATGCTCTTTTGAATGTACAGTGAGCAGTACGAACACACACAACGCGCACTATCCCATCGCTGCCCGGATATACATCGACTACTCTTCCTAGTTCGCATTTCATTGGAGGAAGTAACCATCGAGCCCCTTTGGATATTAGAACTCGCTACTTTCCATTTTGTTCGTTGCTGAAGAGATGACAAATATTCTCGCGACCATCTAGCCCAAAAATGTTGAATAACTTGCGTAAGGTGATGATATCGCTTGAGTTTGTTTGTATGGACATCTGTGAGATCCTTTTGTGGTACAGCCATTAAGGAATCTCCAATTAAAAAATGTCCTGGCGTGAGTACACCAAGGTCAAGTGGATCATTGGATAATGGTAAGAGGGGTCGAGCCCCTTTGGATATTAGAACTCGCTACTTTCCATTTTGTTCGTTGCTGAAGAGATGACAAATATTCTCGCGACCATCTAGCCCAAAAATGTTGAATAACTTGCGTAAGGTGATGATATCGCTTGAGTTTGTTTGTATGGACATCTGTGAGATCCTTTTGTGGTACAGCCATTAAGGAATCTCCAATTAAAAAATGTCCTGGCGTGAGTACACCAAGGTCAAGTGGATCATTGGATAATGGTAAGAGGGGTCGAGCCCCTTTGGATATTAGAACTCGCTACTTTCCATTTTGTTCGTTGCTGAAGAGATGACAAATATTCTCGCGACCATCTAGCCCAAAAATGTTGAATAACTTGCGTAAGGTGATGATATCGCTTGAGTTTGTTTGTATGGACATCTGTGAGATCCTTTTGTGGTACAGCCATTAAGGAATCTCCAATTAAAAAATGTCCTGGCGTGAGTACACCAAGGTCAAGTGGATCATTGGATAATGGTAAGAGGAGTCGTGAATTTAAACATGATTCAACTTGTGTCAGAAGAGTATACATCTCATCATATATGTATTTGTTTTCCCCCAATACCCTTTTTAAATGATATTTTAAAGACTGAATAGTTGACTCCCATACCCCGCCATAATGAGGAGAGTGGGGAAGTATGAATTTCCAATTGATTTGGTGATCAGTAAAATGCTCAAGAAACTTTGAATTGATATTTGAATCACTTATTAATGAGTACAGTTCCTTCAAATGATTGTTTGCTCCCACAAAATTTGTAGCATAGTCCGAGTACAAGTTTTGACAAAGACTCTTTCTAGCAATAAAACGTTTGAAACAGTTTTAGAATGACTGTAGTTAACTCATAAACCAATTCTGTAATATTCCAATTCCAATATACAGATGTAACTCTTAACAATTTTACAATTTCTAAGGTTGCTCGTTTTTAACTGAAAAGGATCCCCATAATCAATACCGCAATTAAAGAAAGGTCTGGATGCTACTACTCGTAATCTGGGTAATTGACCCATTAGATTATTTATCGTAACCGGCCTTGCCCTAAAACATGTTATGCACTTGTGCAGAATATGTCTGATTGTATTACACCCTGAAAGAACCCAAAATTTTAGCCGTAAAATGGATAATAAAGCTTGTTGTCCCATATGTAAATGTTGATAAATGGTAAATCTGAATTTTGTAAACGTCCACCAACTCTTAAAATACCTTCTGAATCTAAAAAAGGGTTTAATGAGATGAGACTGCTTGTCTTACATAATGAGCCTAATATTTTTATTGTCGAAATGTCTGAACCAAATGTTTCCAATTGAGCCATTTTGATTAGAATCCTTAGTGTGCCCTCTCTTTCATCAACAGTAAGTATACCCCATTTACGTTCACTCATTGGCAATCTACAATTATTTATAAATCGCAGAATGTAAGCTGTGGTTTTTTGTAACTTGTTAAGATTTGAAAATCTATCCTAAATCGTATGCAATGCTGTGACAATTAATGAAAATTTAACTGGCCTTTTATCTGGCACTTCCAAAGTAGCAAAGCCATTTTGAACCATTCCACCAAAATGAAGAATCGTTAAGTAATTTTGGTTCCATCCCCCTGGATATGATGTCGGCTGGATTTTCTTTGGAATGGATGTGATGCCACTTATATGTTTTAGTCAAATTTTGAATCTCCGAAACCCGATGTGACACAAATGTTTTCCATTTTGAAGCCTCGCCCTTGATGCAATGTTAAGTGATTGTCGAATCTGTCCAAAAATGCACTTTATTAAATCTTATGTCCATTGTATAACTTCCCTGGAAAGTTTTACGCTGAGTAACGCCCCACATAACTCTAACCTTGGTAAAGAGATTGTCTTTAACAGAGCTACTCTTGATTTAGCACATAGTAGATGCACATGATATAACCCATCGTGACTTATTGACCGTACATAAATTGCTACCCCATATGCAACTTCTGATGAATCGCTGAAGCAGTGAAGTTCAATGTCCTTTGGTTATAAGCATAACACATGTCTTGGAATTTGTGTTTGGTGTAAATCTGAAATTGTTTCCTTAAATTTGTTCCAAGCCGTGTGAAGATCCTGAGCTAATGACTCATGCCAATCCAATTTGAGCTTCCATAATGATTGCATAATTACCTTAGCCGTGATTATGACTGATCCCACAAGACCCAGAGGGTCACATATTTGACAAAATCATTGATAATACTGACCTTTTGGTTGTCTGAGATTGTATATTAAAATTAATATTGTACTGCAAGATGTCCGATTGAGGATTCCAGTACAACCCCAAAGTTTTACTAGTGATGTCTTCAGACAAATAATGCTCAACTTGTTGATTATTTTGTAAGTCCCCTTTAAATACTTCTGGTTTATTTGAGACCAATTTTCTGAGCTGAAATGCTGCTGAGCTCAAGATGGAGCTGATATCCTGTTTTAACTTCTTAACCTCTTCAATTGTGTCCCCCCCTGATAATAGATCATCTGCATAAAAATCCTTCAAAATAGTTTGGCAAGCTTCTTGTAAATTTGACATTTGTTCATATGCTGCTTGTTGTATACATCTTATTGCAAGAAAGGCTGATGGTGCTAAGCCATATGTTATTGTGTTTATTGTTTTGATGAAAATCTCCAAAAAATTCTTTGTAAATCCCTTTGTTTTGAAGAAATAAGAACTTGCCGATACATCTTTTCAATATCAGAAGCAATGACAACTTTGTTTTCTAAACCGTAGCAAGATGTGTAATAAATCCTCCTGAAGCCTTAGTCCCACCATTAATACATCATTCAATGACAAATTATTGTCTGTTTTAGCTGACCCATTGAAGACTACCCTAAGCTTGGTAGTAGTAGACGATGTCTTTAGTACCCCATGATGTGGTATATAATATTTTGGTGGATCTCCTTGTATCTGTAGCTCCCAATCATCTCTTTTTGTCATGTGTCCTAATGCTTAATATTCTTCCATGAACTTGTGATACTGCTCTTGCAAACTCGAATTGTTGTCCAGTTTCTTCTCCAAGTTTTGAAATCTCTTCATTGCTATGCTGTAAGAATCCCCCAGTTTTGTAATATCTTCCCTAACTGGTAATTGTACTATATAACGTCCATGTAAATCCTTAGTTGTGGTTGAGTGGAACAGTTCCTGGCAATATTTATCCTTTACTGATAAGGTCTTTTTATGTATGTCCAATTGTTCAATCTTCCAAAACTGTTCCATTTGTTCATTCAAGCTGAGTGCAGAAAAGTCACAT